TCACAATTTTTACAACTTGTAATTATCTCTTACTTTAATTTTTTTTACCTTATGAAAAGAAATGGAAAGAGGGGGAAAAAATAGGAATTTTTTATATTTATGAAAATTCTTATAAAAGGCTTAAAAAAATTCAACATTAAAATTATATTTGTCGAATCGTTAAATTAAAGATTATTCCTTATTTTATATTTAATAAAATATTGCCTTGAGATGTTTCTTAAATTTTTTTCTTTATAAAAAAGTTATATTTTATTTTAATCGTGATTCACATAAATTAAAAAAAAATTAAAAAAGCTCTTTTAATAGTTATTTTAAAAAGTAAGTTGGTTTTCTTGATACTTTGCAGAATGTAGTGTTGTTAAACGGCTCGTTTTGAGCCGATTTTTTAAAATGGCTAACTCTATTTTTTAGGCAGAAAAATATTACCTAAGCCTCGAGATTTCAATAATATATGCCTAAACCGTTGTTCCTTCTACGAGCAAAATCTTCAGGCTTGCGTAATATTTTTCTGGATTAAATATTGAGTTAGCCGTTTTTAAAAATCGGCTCAAAACGAGCCATTTAACAACACTAGCAGAATGATACATACTCGTTTTTCTCAAAAAGAAACGTGCTACTCATTTCCAGCGCCAGGCGGATACTTTTGGCGGTTCAGCGCAAAAATAATTCGGTGGCCCTATATGAAACCATAATTTATCTAAGATCGTTTGAAAATTTTTCGTATTCTGACAAGAACTAAGTAAATATGGTAAAATTTATTGAAATCTAATATAGTTGGCAAATATAAATCATTTAATTTAAATAACAATTTAAATCATTGATTAAAATCAATAATTTTAATAAAATTCTATTTTCTAAATTTGATCAAAACACTTAATATAAGAAAAGATAAAGACTTAGAATATTTTAGAATTAAACAATTTTTATATGAAAAATACTAAATTATATTAGTAGTCATTAGTTATTACTATTAGATAAAAAAATATTCGTTATTTTTTATTCATTGTTTCAATTTTTGACATAATTAATTGTTAATTCTATAATTCTAATCTCAATGTAGGGAGGATTGTTTAATATTCTAAAAAAATAATTAGTTGTTAAATTCGGACTGTGAACTCTCCTTCTAACAAAAGGTTCTGGTTAAGTGGAATAACACGGTTTGAGTTCAGGGTTAATACAGAAAAATAAAGATTTATAAAATTTAGTAAAAATAACAGAAATGAGTTTTTTAACATTTATTTTACTATATTATATTTAGCATTTACAAAAAAAATTATCTTATCATTATAATTAGAATAACACAAATACAATTTAAAAAATAATATTCTATTTGTTTTTTTAAATTTTATAAGAGAATTATATTCACATCTTCCAAAATCTACATGTTAAAATTAAAAGATCGATTTTTTATGCCTAACTTTGATAGTGCATTGCAACTCATGTACTCTATATTGGTATTAAAACAAAACTAGTTTTCCTAAACTATGTTTGCACATATCTACGAATTTTGCTTGACAGTCGGCTTTTTATTTGACAAAATATCAAATTAACTCATGACTTATCAATATTAATTTTTTCAACAATTTCCTGACTGGATCTCCTGAGGCATTAACTTTTTACATACAAAGAGGTAAAAAAAATTTTTTTATATATGATATTTTTCAACTAACTTTTCTACTTGAATTATGTATATTTGGATTAAATCAATTTTAATCACAAATTTTGCCAACCCTAAAATTTAATGATAAAACATTTTAAATAGTGCAATATAATAACATAATAACAGGCTTATATAATCATTAATTAAAAAATAGTTCAAACATCCTCCTCACCTTTTTATTCTCAAAAGAGGATATTATGTCGGTACAATATAATAACAATGCAATGCCATTTTCGATTAAAATTATTAGATTAAAGAGGCGGTCTTGCGCCATGCAGGATCTTAAGGAAGTCTTAATTAGCTATAACTGAGAAGCTGCGTTCAGTCAATGTGACGATAATTGTAATAATTATAATAATCTAAAAACAGTGGATATTTCATTTAGTCTATTAGTGTAAATATAGCGCACAATTTCTATGGGACTTTTAATGGTCGTCTGCTTACATATTTATTAAAATTTTTTAAATCAGTTAATAAATCTAGTACATTAATATATCTTTCCAGCGAATCTTGATTTGTTAGTAAAATATTTAATAAACTATACAATATTCTTTTAGCTTCGTTGACGTATTTACCAATGCAGGCGTATCGAATAAAAACCCAATGAATCTTTGGAAAGTTTTAATTGTTGAGAAAATGAAATCTTTGATTGACCGATGAATACATTAATCTATGATATCAATGTGTTCATTATCTATATTGATTATTTCTCCCATTTCAGATATAGCGCATATCTACCCTTTTTTAGTGTTTTAAAAGTGCCCTATTCAGCTTTCGTTCTTTTTTTTTTATTTTTCAGCACCGTCAAATATTTTTCCTCTTCCTATTTTTCAAAATTTTCTATAATAGCTTATGAAATAAAAGTTCATATGACACTTTCTTAGGTCACTAAAACAGTTTTTAATTAATCTAGCCTGCCATTTTTTAAGGATCTGAAACTAGTATATAATATATATTTAATTAGACATCTAATAGTTGAATCTAAAGCTTAATTAAAATAACTTGAGATGAGGGCCATTTGAGGTATACCCACCCATAAATTTCACGTATTAAATGATGACTATGGTATAAACATAATCTTAAATTAAAACTACTTATAACAAACAACCAGATATAAAATATAGTTCTACCTAGACATGTGCGCCGCCGGTCAAATGCGCCGCCGCCGATCTAAAAATTCGGCGGCGTGGCGGCGTGATACATATTTTTTATTATTAATTTATTTTATATATTATTTATGAATTTTAATTAGAAGAAAAATATTAAAAAATGCGATTTTATTTTTTAAAATTAATAAATATTATTTGCTATAAATTTGATTTGTAACAATCCATATTCGTTCACTTTGGACAGGTTTGTGATCAACGTGCTAGATAAAATAAGATTAGGACATTAAATTTGAAAAGGTAATTCTATATTTTATTCTTTTAATTTTTGATGCCTCAAATAATTTACAACTCGTTATATAAAATTTATTTTTTATCATAATAGGAAATTTTAATTAATGATTTTTATTTTGTTGCCATTATAATATATATAAAAATACCAGGACTAAAACAATTATAATGGATGCAGCATTGCAATATCCTGTAACAAAATATAGTATATCCTTCCTAGCAAAGCCTTCTTTTGCATGGAAACATTTTGGATCCTTAATATTAAAAACTGACACAAATAATAAGAGAACCAGTGTTGCTACAGATAAAATCTTTTGTAATATATGCTTGCAAATAGCACTTGATAAAGATGGTGAGGAAGAAAATAATTATTCATTTTCAGAGTAAAATTTTTGATTATTTTAAAAATATTTGCAAATTTTTTAATTAGTTATCCAATCAAATCTTTTTCAAAAAATATCAGCACATCAAATATAATAAAACATTTACTTGACATATGATTTATCATGTAAAGAAAAAATATTTAAACAAAATTTAAAGTTATTTTTCGAACCCATTGTAAAAGATACAACTAACCCTATAAAAGATAAAAAATGGATTCTGGTAAGGAATTATGTTCTCATGTCTTGCAAGGATTTAATGCCATTTTCTTCTATAAATAATACTGGAATGCAAGATTTTCTAAAGGTTATTTTTAAAATCATTATAATTTTTTATAGGGCAATCTTAATTTTTAACTGTTAAGATATTTAAATATTTTATAACATCCCACATTTAGAATTTTTTATGGTATTTAACTTTTTATTATGTAGAAATATGGCATTATTTCAGATACCAAAGAATTACCAGATAGAACTACACTTAGCCGGAGTGGATTAGATGATGTGTATTTATCAATGAAAGCATACATATGCCAACAAATTAATATAGGTCCTAAATTTTGTGCTATAACTTTATGTGGACCGACAAATATACACAGCGAAATTATATCACCTTTACATTTCACGAAATAGATAATAATTTTAATATTGTATTTTATACATTGGCGACACATCATGTCACTCAAAAACATACCGCTGAAACTATTCTTTCCGAGATAGAAAAAGTTAAAAATGAATTTGATTTAGGGTCCAAGAAAATTCAAATGGTTACGGATGCAGGACCCAATGTAAAGAAAAGTGTTCGTCTAGGAGAATATGACCATCATTTATGTTTGGGGCATGGATTACATAATCTAGTGACAGTCGATGGAATAAAAAAAGTTAATAAAATAGAAAATCTCATTAAAAAAGTGAGAGAAGTTGATTCAAAACAGCGGATTTTGAAAATATAAACGATATAGAAAAACAGCGGATTTTGAAAATATAAACGATATAGAAAATGTTTTGAATCGATATCATATACATCGGATATTTTAGATTTGGATAATAATGATCCTTTTTATGAAGATCGTTTGTGGTTTGAAAATGATAGTGAAAATCAAAAATCATATGAGAAAAAACATAATACCTTAAAATTAAATGTGCCTACACCCTTGGCATAGTATTTTAATAATGCTGGAAAGTGTGACTGGCAATAACAAAAATACTATAAATATTCTATTAAATAGAATGGAGAAACCGGATCTCAAATTATTTAATTTCGATTGGGACTTGGTGCATAAACTTTTAAATTTTCTTAAAACCTTCAAAAAAAACTTTTGAATTTTTATTACTATAAATTTAGCCTTATTATTTCGTAGTGAAATTAAAAATCATTTAATTGTAAAAGAATATGATAGTTCTCCCATAGCATCCCTTAAACAAAATATGCTTACTAAATTTGATCATAGATTTTCAATAACCGATCTTCAGGTAGTATTTTAAAATACATAAATTATTTTTTATATATTATTTCTCTTTCTTTTATTTTTTTACTTAGGTGTTAGGAGCACTTTTGGATCCTCGTTTTCAATCTATAAACATAGTAAATGAATATTTAGAGGGAAAAAAATATTACTCCGGTTGAATTTTTATGTCAACACGATACCTCTCTACGGCCTTACACGGACGAATTAAATGAATCTGGAATGACGGAAGTTGCTTCAAAACTCGATTATCTTAAGTCATTGGCTACGAAACATTCATCTATTCAAAACAATAACCTAGAACAACAAGACTATTTAACTAGTTTAGAAAAAGAGTGTTATTCATTATTTTCGCCTTATAATTTGGAGATAAAAGATGCCTTAGATTTTTGGAAGATAAGAGCATTTGATCTTCCTAAACTTTCAATATTAGCTAGAAAGGTCCTGTGCGTTCCAGCTACGAGCACACCCAGCGAGCGTGCATTTTCTATTGGGCTCACTCTGAACTCTAAAAGATCATTATTATGTCCTTTAAATCTTAATAAAATAATATTTATTCATGATAATTATAACTTAATGAAATCATTAAATTATAGTTATAAACATAATAAAGTAAAAATTTTATTTTAAAAGTGTTTCAATGAATTTATAAATTTAATTAAAAAAATTTAAGTTAGAAAAATATTTGACGCCGCCGCCGATTTTTTGTGGCGGCGCCTTAATCGATTCGCCGCCGCCAGCCGATCATTTTAAAAAAAGAAACGCCGCCGCCGAAAATGCTGTCGACGCACATGTCTTGTTCTACCTAATTTAAAAATAATAAATAATTATACAATTTATAAAAATATTTTCGATTTTGGCCTACTAGAAACTAATGCAATTTTACTATTATCGGCCTCAAAATGGATTAAATTTTGACTAGATTTTTAATTTGGGTTTCTGTCAAAATCTGACCATTTTTTTCGTTGGCTATTTTAGTAGTTAAGGTTAATTTATTTAAAAATATTAAATAAATTTTCATTTTTTTTCTAAACCAAATAAAAAACAAAAAATTATTAAATCTTGGCTGCCCGGGGGCTACCCCTCTCGCTCATGCCGATGGCACAGTTTTATTATTCATATTCCGATGTCGTTATGAGATGAATGCCTATTTATGAAGTGAGTGTAAATACTCGCGCATGAATACATCTATTTTACTTTGAACTTTTATATTTCTTTCACTAACTTCTCAAGAAGACATAAAAATAATAAGTTTTTTAAAATCAATTATTCATAGCACATTAATATCAAATGCTAATATATACAATAGTCGTCAATTAAGAAAATATTTATCATTTTATATAGTACTTGCCTCAATGCAAAAATTTAATTCTAGATATCATTTAAATCAATATTTTTGGAGTATATCTAACTTTGTCAGTTTAATAATTTATGCTTAAATTAACTGAAACTGAAAATTATACAAAAAATATTCATCAAATCACAACTGATTTTTAAAGGATATACAAATTATTCATATGATTATTGACATTTTGACATGTTTTTTTGAGATGCATATGTAATTTTATTGATTGAACAAATATACTGAATTAATATTTTAATATACTTTTCAAAAAAATATATGTTATTAGAATGTATAAAAAGTAAAACAATATTTTGTAAAAAAAAATATTTAAAAACAAAAACTAGGGGGATAGATATTCTTTGCCGCAAGTAAAAACTTTCTTTTGGATCACCTGTTACAACTAGTAACTTTTATCCTAGTTTCGAATAGTTTTAAGGCTTGAGGTCGAACTGAACTATAGGTGCCTAAAACTACCGGAATGAATAATAGGTCGTTTAGGTGGCTATATTTATTGGGTGTTAAGTATTTTACTTTTATGATGTATTAGAAAAGGATCTGGAAAAACGAATAAGCACGCTTAATCCCAAACGAGGGAGGTTAGTGGTCGGGGTTGAGGCCAGAGGTTCCAGTGAGATAGGAATTTTTACGGCTTTCAATGTTCAATTGATTATTGAATTGATGGCATAGTGCCTGTATACTCTATCTTTTCAATAGCATCAATTGATTTTCATTTAAATCATCAAAATTATCTGCTTGTGGTACTAATTAAAATTTTAGGGTATACTCATTTATATTCGGTAATTTAAAAATTTATAAAGATGGCCGCCAATATTTTTGAAATTAAAAATTTTTTGATTGCCAGGCAACTCAAATTAGATGGCCTCAAATATATTTGAAGCAACAATTTATTTATAAATTAATGACATATAATCATACCTAGACTGACGATGCATTCATAATAATGCATTTGAACGTCGTTGAATGCAAATCATCTGGACCCGCCATTTTGGTTACTCATATAGTAATTATTCTCATGTTAAAAACTACTATTAAATTGATAACTTCCCTTCCTCATTATCTCGATGACCAGGCAATTCTTTTAATAAAGTATGCATCAGGATCGTTTAAATTTTTTATAATGATATGGGTAATCAAAATGGCGTCCCCAGCTGTTTCCGTTGATGTACACCTTTTAATGAATGCTTCGTCATTCTAGGTATTATTATATGTCATTGATATAAATATAATTTTAGCCATTATATTAAAAATGATATAATAGTTTTCGATTGATTTTTATGAATATTTTATATATTTATAAACATGGCCACCAATATATTTGTATTAAACACAGTATTCATCATGGGTTTTCAACCGCTGTTAATATGATATTAAGTATTAATCTCATCACACAATAAAATTTAAAAAACTAAATGTTCAGCAATAAAATTACAAAAGAAGGAACATAAAACTTTGTGTTTGATCTCAAGACTCGTCTAAAAAATTAATTCTTATAATTTGAAAAATAAAATAAATTTGATTCAAAAAAATAACCTACGAACGCTACTTTTCCCTACTAGACTCGAATTTTATTGGTAAGTTTATTTAGATTGAACCGACTCAACACTAATTTCATTGAGAGGGGTAAAATCACGCACAGAGTAAACACGCCTGAAACACATATTTGGGTCCATAATGATTTCATGTAAAGCTTTAAAACTTGACAAGTTTTACAACCGCTATTTTGCGTTATTTTTTTTGCTGGAGACTCCAAAATTTTTGCGTTACGCTTCTGAAGCTTTGTAAATAATATATTTTTTATAATTTTTTTTATTCCATCTTGATCCGAAATTTTTGAATTTGTAAAAAAAATATTAATACTAAATCGACATTGATTAACCCCACATGTTTTTTTAAAAAAATGTTACAATTACAAATTATTACATATAAAAGTTTTTTTCCCGATTTTCTCTTACAAACTCTATAAGCAGGGTTGCCAGGTCAAAATTTTCAAATTGTGGGAGAAATTCGGTATTTTGTGGGAGTAATATAAAAATTGTAAGAGAAATATAAACTAAAAAAAATTTTTTTGCGGGCCGTTCGGGATTTAGAATTGACTTAGTTATCCGCTTATTATTTTTTATAAATATAAAATCGAATCTATTTTCCAAAATAAAATAGGTAATTATTTTTCAAAATAAAATAGCCAGCTATTTTTCAAAATAAAATAGCCAGCTATTTTTCAAAATAAAATAGCCAACTATTTTTCAAAATAAAATAGCCAACTATTTTTCAAAATAAAATAGCCAACTATTTTTCAAAATAAAATAGCCAACTATTTTTCAAAATAAAATATCCGACTCTTTTTCAAAATAAAATAGCCAACTATTTTTCAAAATAAAATAGCCAACTATTTTTCAAAATAAAATATCCAACTCTTTTTCAAAATAAAATAGGTAACTATTTTCCAAAATAAAATAATTTTTCAAAATAGGTGATTATAGTACGACACAAAATTACTTAAATACTATCTTTATTATTAAAATAACATATTGATTTATTATAATATATTAATTTTGTTTAAAAATAATAACCAACGATCTTTTTTAAATACAAAAGAATAACAAGATAAAATTTTATAAAAAAATTGTAATTTTACAATGTAAAAAAATATATTTTATGCTAATGTATAAATAAGATTTTATAAAAAAACAAACAATTTTAAATTTACAATATAAAAAATAATTATAATCAGTGCGGGGAAGTTGTTCTACAGTATTTAATTAATACAATGGGGGAAGGGAATATATTTTGAGGCATCAAAAATCTTCAAAGCATAAATCAGTACAGGGCAGTCTATCAACATCTATTGCAAAACAAAAATATTCTTCAAAAATAAGAAATAATACAAATGCAACTACAGTTGCGGAAATGGTAAATACCTATCATGCAGTATAATATTAAGAGAGCTACTTAACATCACAATGTTGGTAGAATCTTTCCCCATAATATTTAACGACTAATATAAATAAAAAGTATACTTTGTAGAACACTAATGAGCAAGGCTATCATCAATGTTTTAGGATATAAATCCAGAAGGTCAATTCTTGACGATTTGAAGATGTGCAAACAAATGCAATTCTAACAGATGTATCTAATAAGGAGATATCAAAACATTTCGCTTGATCCTCTCCTATTTCAACAAAATTAATGTCATTTCAATAAAACTATTGAAAAAATTTTCTCCAGATATGAAATATCCAAAGACATAGCTAACAATATATAATGGTAAATATGGCAGATTTGGCATTACCAATGAATTGCATGGCAGCTTTCTGATCTGATAATTCCTCAGTGAATTTGGCATAAACCAGAGTGTATTTACAGAATTGAGTCAGCATAATGTTGGTTGACAGGGTCCTCCTAATACGAGCCATCGTTGAATTTTAAAATTTTACAAACCTTTAAAAAATAAATAGATTATAAAAGCTGCCCTAATATTTTGAAAAAAATTTTCAAAAATAAATGTCAGAAGTATATTTAGGAATTTTACATATAGGAAATCTAATATATGCTGTTAATATGCAGTTGCAATCAGAAGAATATAATTTAATAAAGGTTCACTAAATTGTGCTGCAGAAATACCAAAGTAAGAATATTATTACTATTATCGTAATTATTAATAAGATTTAATATGATGTCATGTTTGAGGAGATTGTAATGCTTCTTTATTTTTATGATTTGCCAAAATATTCAAAATATTAATTTTACAATGTAAAAAATAAATTTATTTGATTTTATGCAAAATGTATAAATAAGATTTTATAAAATATAGAAAGTCAAATAGTTATAGTTAATTATATTTTATTTGAGATTTAAATAATGGAACTAAACGTTTACCGTCTTTATTAAGATATTTATAAAATTCCTGGCATGACATTTTATAATTTTGTTTAACCATTAACTCGGCCTCTAATGTTGTTAAAGCAATTTGATTTCTCTCCTTTCTCCAGGCAGTCCTCATCAGGCTAAAAATGCGCTCCGATGAGGCATTAGAATGAGGTAAGGAGAAAACATACTCGCGAATTTTTTCCAAGCATGGGGATTTATCGTTATTACGAAAAAATTCCACCCATTTTTCCTCTGCTTTTAGACCATCTAACTTTAAGTATTCTGGCGAATCATAAAAAATGGAAAAAATTACAATCTCTTCAAACAAGGCTTCAATGTCTATCGGTAATTTTAATATATTTATTAAATTACAAAAACCATCAAATGATGGTTTCTGTTCCAATTTAAACATTTGTTAATAGAGTTATTAAAATCAAATTTTGATTGTAAATATTCTAAAATTGTCTTAATAAAAATATCTGCTTCATTTAAAAATGAATTAATTAGAGTATTATTTGAACATTTTAATATAATATTTTTAGCAATAGCGCCATAAAATTTATTATCTATTTTTAACTGTAGAGATGAACAGAGCTGTAGCATGATTTTGTGAATCTTTAATAAAGAATCTTCTGATTGCAACTGAATATTAACTACATGAAGTAGATTTCCTACATGTGAAACTAATCCCAAATATGCTTCTGACATTTCATCCTCGAAAAAATTTTTCAAAATTTTAGGACAGCTTTTAAAATCTTTATTTAAGAAGTATTTCTTTAAGGGTTCGTAAAATTTTAAAATTTCTCGATGGCAGGTATTAATGATAACCACCTGATAGGTACATATCGCAACAACTCACACCATTCCAAATCAGACTACTCCACCAATTCTTTTAATTCAGTGACTCTTTTAGTTGATGAACTAAATTCGTTAAAACATTTCATCACAATTACTTCGACATCTACAGATAGTACATTCATTGCCTTCTTGCAAGAATTATGCAGTATATGGCATATACAGCCAATTGATATTAATTCATTATTGTGCTGCCTCAATTCGGTAAATACACTTTGATTTTTGCCAAAATTAACAGAGGCATTATCAGCGCAGAAAGCTGACATGCAACTCATTGATAACCCTGAATCAGCTATATTTACCATTATGTGGTTAGCTATATCGTTGGATTTTTCACTATCGGATGAAAAAATTTTTAATAGTTTTATAGAAATGCCCTTATTCTTGTTGAAATAGCGAAGGATCAGGGGAAATGTTTTAATATTTCCCTTATTTGATGCATCTGTTAAAATAGCATATGGATGTCCTTCTTTCAAATCGTCTAGAATTGACCTCTTCAGGTCCTAACACATTTGTGATAGCCTTGCTCATTTTTGTCCTACCTCAAGTAAAGTTAGCACTTATTTTGGAGTCGTTAAATATTATGGGGAAAAGATTCGGCCCACAATGTGATGACAGATAGCATATTCATTTTGCATGATGGTACGCATATTTTTAAAATGATAATATTTGATAGATTGTCGTTTGTTAAAACTGAGCTATTGTTGAATAATATATCAATTATATTTATAATCTTTTGCTTGACATATACTTTATGGAATAGTATAAAAGTAAGTAGTGAAAAATATTATTTAATCAATATTATTCATCCACTAACTTTATTTAAAAGAATTAGAGATTAGAATAATATCCACTTCTAAAAGTACTATTCTTCTAACACAAAAATTTTGAAAATGTCGAGTGGAGCACTGCAATTCTAGATAACGATATAAAATATATTAAGTAATTTAAAATATATTTATAATAATTATACATACTGTTCTAACTTCTATTCTTTCTAACACAAAAATTTTGAAAATGTCGAGTGGAGAATTGGAGAATTTTATAAAAAATATATTTTAAAGCGGAAAAATAAAATAAAAGAACTAGACATATTTTTCGAATAAATATTTAAAATTTATTTTAAAAATATAAAAATAATCAAATACTGTCTTTCAAAATTATTATTTATATATTAAAAACATTAAAATGCTAAAAAAAAAATTGTGGGAGAAATTAAAAAATTGTGGGAGCTTTTTGTGGGAGATTTCTAATTGTGGGAGTTTTGTGGGAGTGAGATGTATGTGGGTAAACTAAAAAATTGTGGGAGAATCCCACTGATGGGGGGAGACATGGCAAGCCAGTCTATAAAAATTAATGTTTGCAAGGAAAATAGATTTCACACATTATTAAATCTATAAATTGAAAATAATCTAATTATATTCTATACACATTAAAAGTTATGGATAACATTTTTTATTTTACGATTTTCATAAAAATTTAGACCATTTTTTTGTTATAAAATTCTCCTTTAAAATTTATATTATTTTTATATAGAAAAACTCTCATAATTTTTCAATGGAACCAAAAATATGGATTTGAGCAGGAAAGAAAGGGACGAAATTCTGGCCCGTAAATTGCCTATCATCGAAAAATTAAACGAGGAAATCGGGAGACGTCAAAAAGTAAAGACAAACAAAAAATAATGTTGCATAAATGAAGTATATATTTTTTAGGACATAGTTATAATTATATTATTACATTAATTTATTCTATGTTTAACCCCAATCTTATTAATTTTAATCATTTTGAAGAGCAACCAAAAGTTAAGGTTCTTGAATTACGTTTAAAAATGATTGTTAATTTGTAAGCAAATTGTTGCTAAACTATTGTTGTTATTAAAGATTGTCCTAACGGGACTCATCAGATATGTATTGAACTGGTATTAAACCATACAGTAGTTTCACAATCACCTAACTTAAGTTCTAAGATGACTAATCTGCATTCAAATAACCCATTAAAAAAGGCAATATAAGATTACTTTTGGGTTAAACATAACATAGGTTAAATTAACGTAATAATATAAAATATAGTATTATTTTTTTTAAAAAAGTTGGAGCTGAAAACTAGGGAAAAATAATTACAATCACGTGATTAAACTGAATTCCTATTGGACGTTATTTAAAAAATAGATGCAATCCCAAACAAAATTTATAATAAATAAATAGCCGTTTACCTAGTGTATTATATCCAATAATATATAATACTAAATAACTGACGATTCATTCATATGTGTAATACAAATCAGCAAGTGACACGCCATTTTTCTATATAAATAATTTACATTAATATTTTATGAAAATTTTTTAAAAAAATCGAGTTTCATTTATATATAAAATTTTTTTTATATGGAACCAAAATGGCATATGTCACCAATTTATTTGTATATTCAACGACGCTTTAAAATGTATTTTAATGAATGAATGGATCTTCAGTCTATGGTAAGTATTATATGTCATTGATTATATCTTACAAACATTATTCGAATCAAGAAGTGGCAGTTTTTTTTACGATTAGATCCTGGAAATGTGTAGGGTCATTAGACTTGATCTGTTTATATTTAAGGGGAAAAAAATAAGTTTTTAAACGGGATTATTATAGCTTTAAACTTTTCTTGTTAATTTGAAACAGCGATTCTATTAATTCCGAAATTCGTCGCTCCCTTTATATCATTTAATTTAGAATTCTAATTAGCAGTTGTCCAAATAGAATATTATTTTTAAATTAAAAAAATAAGTAAATGTCAAAATCCCTATATTTGTTTTTTTAAAAAAATCCCAAGAAAAGGGGTGTCCTAGTTGGATGTTTTTCTAAATAGAATGCTCTATTCAGAATTAGGGAACAAGACGAGCTAGGCAGCTGTCTAAAATTATATTTAATTTACTAATAATTATTGGCACAAATGCAATGATTTTATTTCAACTTCTTTTAAGGAAATCATAGCGGACGAACTAACCGCCGAACGTCTTAATGCGTCTTTTAACTTCACACCTAGTAAAGATGAGGAATCGTGCAATCACAATTTCTTACTACAACACAAAAATCAACAACGTAATATTGATTATGATAAAAATTGCACACATAACAATTATTTAACGTCCTTCAACAACAATAAGGATAAATCGAATGGAAAAAAATGGCCGAGAGATATGAACATGGCCCGAGAACAAAATGAGCATGATATTTTTGGCGAACGCACCAAAAATGACCTCCAAAATAAGGCATCCTTCCAAAATTCTTACAAGACCGGAGAATTGAAATGTGGTTATTACCCAAATTATTCAAACCATTTTAACAAGGTAAAGGGGTTTAACAATAATATTGGTAATAATAAAAATAGTAATTCGCAGCCTCAAAACGCCGGGAAATTTATGAATGTCATATATTATAATAATCTGGCGTTTAAGGGGACCAGCCAAAAGGGAGAATCTAAAGAAAGGCATATTAACCGTCCCGTCGTTAATGGAACGAGCGTTGAGGTATACTTTATGGTTAACATTTTTTTTATAAAGTAAAAATTAATTGGATGACCAGGTCTATTAATATAAATTCAATGACCATTTCGTATAGGAATCATAAGCGTTTTAAGGTCACACTTTAACCACTTTTATTTATATATTCGATATTTTTAGAAGAGAAATAGATCTATACCGTTGACACCACCGCCCAGTCCCCCAAGGTTCAATTTTTTATACGACTCTTACCGTTACAAAGTGCGTGGGGAATCTAAACCTGGCAAAGAGAAACATACTTCGGTTAACAACAACTTTGGTTACCCCTCCAATGGCAGAAACAAAATTGACAGCGCGGATATGGTAGAAAATAATAATTTTCAACGTAACGATCTCAATTTTAGGAATAATACTAATAACGAAACTAAATCGAATCAAATCCATTTCAATTCCATCGAAAGAAGCAAAGTTAAAAGACAGATGGGAACTGGAGGAAGAATGGGTGATTTTAAAGACAATTATTGTAATATTAGAAATATGGAATATGGTAGATCTGATTCGGGTAAGTCTAATCGAGGTACTCAACAATTTAGCAATAACATATCAAATTCTAACACAAAATCAGGATCTGCTAAAAGCAATAATCAGCAGATCAAGAGTATATTCTTGGAAAGAAGGTCAAAGACATCTCATTTTATACCCGTACACCTACGAAATGTGAGATATTATGGCTTTATATTACTAAATTTTTTTCGACAATCATTAGAGGGGAAAAGTAGTATTTCTTTTAGATTTATTACATTATGCTTATAGTTTATTTCTAATCAGTTTCCTAAGATTTCTTTAGTTTTAGTAGAAAGTATTGTAATAATTTTTTTAGAATATATTTAAAAAATCTTACAAAAGCTTTATAATATGCAGTATAACCAGAGTTTGGAAAATTTTCCAAAAAAATTGTATTCGAATATAAATACAAATACTGCAAAAAATTATTTGAATATAATATAAATACAAATACGTTTTAAAGAAATGTATTTTAAATATAAATAATAGATACCGAGTTGTTAAAGTCTCTAAAATATGGTATCTATATCTTGATACACCTTTATAAAAAGTATCGATATCTAGATACTATTTTATAGGTATCGGTACTGTTTTTAGATTTTTAACGCCTTTTTATATTAAAAATAAAAATATTTGAGTGCAAAATTCATTTTATTTCATATGAGCATATAATTTAAATAAATATATACTAAAAAATATTAGGAGTAATATAATAAAAAAATATTAAAATATTAACTTATATATAAAATATTAAAACTTATTAAAAAAAATATATAGATATTCATTAAATTTTTTTCCCATTTAAATCTTTAAATATCTGTGAAGAATATTTTTATTATGAAAGGAGTGCGCACAAATTGAGCGTTTGCGTTTGCAGTACGTTTTTTAACGCAACGCATCTTTGTTTAAATTGAAAGCAGTACGTTTTTTCCTTGTTTTAAAATTGAAACGTGATTTAATTTATATTAAACAGTATGGATTTCTTTAGTTTACAAGATAAACAACTAATTGCTTATTTTAATTATACAAGGATGAGGAGAACATTATAATTTACAAATAATGCAAATAAAATAATTTAATTACATTTTCAATTCTTTAATAAAAATATACACTAGAACATGTAAGAATATTAAATATCTTATTAGAATAGTATAATCATACCATCTTGCCCAATTTTATTTAATTGGTTTTTGAATTTTTTTATTATAATCACATAAGATGATGTCAAAATAAAATATTGTTAGCTCAATAAAACATAGTAAGATATAAATAATCAATATCTTAAAAAATCAAACACTATTATTCTGTTTATATACATAATATTTTATTTTTAAAGATAATATTGGCTAAATTATATGTCAATGAATTAAAATCCTAGAAAGGCTTCAAATTTTGATCTCACTAATTAATTATTGTGTCAAAATTTATAATATATATACACTATTAGATCTTAATTGTAACTTCTTCCAATCATGTTACTCCTGATTTTTTTATTTATTGGATTTTCATAACTGTTTACTCAATCTCATTTCATAATTTGATTATTATAATATTTATTTGTTTATCCTACCTTAATATATTTATAAAAATCTATATATTTTATTAAAAATGCTAAATAAATTTTGAATAGTTTGCTTATTTATATAAATTTTCAAAAATGGACACTATAAAATGGAATATTACTTTATTATATAGAAATAAACATATTTACAAAAATAAATAAACTAAGATAAAATTTATTTAATGTTTGATTTAAAGTTGTTTCTGTTGAATTTGTTGGTGATAATTCTATAGTATTTTGATCCTTTGATTGCTCCATCAAAGTATGATACAATCTTGATACTTCACAATTGAAAAAGTATTTATTTGAATGGCTCATACTTTCCAAGCCTTCTGCCATTGATTGTAAAAAATATATTTTACTGGCATTCAGATGACACCTTTTCCAAAAGAGCCAAAAGTCTTTCACCCATGAGTGCATTTATTTTTAAACCATTAGTCTTTGGTGTAGTTTCTTTAGGACTAAAATTGTCAGTAGTTTTTCTGTCCTTTATCATTGGCTTCATGAATTTTATATATATATATATATATTCAACTTCTTCTTTAAGCATTATACAGTTGTATCATGCTGTGGAAACTCCATCTCCATGCTAATAAATATATATTTACCTTAAACTAATGGTTGATATCTAAAATTTATTCAAATAATAATATCAATTAATATATTCTAAAATTATATTAATATATTCTAAAATTATATAAATATCAATTAATATATTCTAAATGATATAATATCAATTAATATATGAGATAAATTATAATTACAATTTTGTATCCATTTTCAAATTTTAGCGTAAAATTAAAAAAGCATTAAAAAATCAAACCAGTTTGCTTTTTTTTAACGCTTGCCGTAAAAAAATCCAATTTGCACAATACCATCTAAAATGCATTATTAGCTTTTAAAACGGAGCGTTGCAACGCTCAATTTGTGCGCACTAATATATAATTTGCTTAGCCATGACACCTGCATAAAATTGTTTTAAGCAAATAAATATTTTTAGAATTTTTATAATAATTTTATAGATATTGAATTTTAATGAATAAATTATAAGTTTAATATAAATTTTTTAAAAAATATATGTTCGTTTTAAATGAGAATTTGTACGAAAGAACGGTAACAATAGGTGTATTGACATTTTTTTATATGGTGTTCGATTTTAATGAATAAAAAATAAAAATGTTTTATTTACATATTTTGTGCTCACATAATAAGAGTTTCTGTTTGAAAACAACGGCGAACGTTGTATATAGATAAGTATGGGGGATATTGTATCGGTTACAGATACATTTGTAAAATTGTATCTGTCTTTAGATACGATATTTGACGCTATATCTATATCTAGATCCTTCCAATAAAATTTTCAAAAAAAGCATCTATAATGCAAATATTTTGACTATTTTTTCGAAATAGATTTTTATAGTACCATTAATTTTTAAATCCCGGAAAAAAAACCCCGAAGTTTTTCTTCGAAAAGATCTAATAATATCGGTATATTTTTATTTGGATTTATATAATGTATAGACAAATTAGTATTTTAGAAAAAAATATTATAAGTATAATTTAATAAATTAAAAATTTTTACGAAAATAAGTAATACATGGGTTATTTCACTGGGATATTTTTTTTCCCAGTACCAATTTGAATATCAGCATTTTTTCTTGTTTAAGCACTACGATTTTGTTTTCAGTGTCCAACTACCTACATGCCATCGTTCAAGTTTGGTTTCATCGGCAGCCACCTCGCATTTTATTTTTTTAATCAATACCCAGATTGATGGGTGTATTCCCAACTAGATTAGAAAAACGATGATTCGAACCTTCGCATTGATTATTTATGAGTTATTCGTTGGATAGAGAGCTCTGATTCAAGTTTCTGGAGGAAATCGAAGCCCAATTCCACCTGTCTGGGATTGAGAATATGTAATTTTTATCAAAATATTCAAGAATATCCTTATTATTGCTTGGAGTAACCGATCTAAGGAATGCCATTGCATTGCCCATGTCACATAAAGGAACAAATGCTAAGCCGTCCATCATGCCACAAAAGAAGCTTAGGGCATCATCGGTTCTGTATTGGCGTTCCAGACCTAGCTTTTGAATTTTTCTATTGGTACTTTGACACAAATGGTTAAAGCATCCTCTGATTATGATGTGATCCTCTAATTCAAAAAATAAATATAAATAATTTAACATATTAATAATCATACCAATGACAGTTTTAACCGCGCTAATAGCTGACTTTTCGAAATCCATGTATATATATAATGGATCATGAAATAAATCCCGTTCTTGACATTTAGACATTATTACTTCGAATATTTTTTCGTAAATATTTTTTTTTTGGAGTTTTAAGCTGTTAATGAATGTGGCGTTCGCTTATAAAATTATTTATCAATATTAATTATTGCTAGGTTATACTAAAAAAATTAAGTGAAAATTGAGAAGAAAAAAATTGAGAAAAGGTCAGAAAAATAAAGATTAACAATGACTTAAAGCAAAAATGGGAAGAAAATAATAAATTGAGATTGACAAGAAATTTTTTTTAAAAAATAACAATTTTCTTTTTTTTAAAATTTTTTTTCCATGGGGTTTTTTTTCCGGGGGTTTTTTTCAAGGGGTTTTTTTTCCTATTACCATAATTTTTTTTTTTGCTTAAAAAAATTATTAATCATTTTCTAACAATTTAAATTATAATATATCATAAAATTTGCAAGTAATAATGTCTTATATCACAGGCACAGAATTATTATTATAACATATTATTTAATATCTAATATTTCATCTTGCTTTTACTTTATTACTTATTTTGGAAGTATGGAAGACTCCTTCGTCTAATATGGTAAATGACATGGAGGTAGGGGATGTGAAAGGTCCTTTCACATACTCTGCGATAAATATCTTATTATCTTAACTCAATGGAACTGGAATCTTTATCTTCTAATTGTATATTAACTTCAAAAAAATAAATTTCTTCATTTTCAGTATGAACGTTAATAGAATTAAACAGATAAGATATTGATTTTTTTTTTGATTCGGATAACAAAATTACTATTTAAAGAGATAAATTGTGTATTTTACATTTATAATTCAATTTATAATATAATATTCAAAAACTAAAAAGTATTTGTTATTTATTTTAAATCATAATAAATACAAGATACTTTTTTAATTTTTAGTATTTCAAATACAAATACTAAATACTCTTAAAATTATTTAATAAATACTATAAAATACAAAAAAATATTTGTATTTAGATTTTAAATATAAGTTTCGCGATACTGATAACTCGAAGTATAGGGTCATTCCATGTCAAATCAATCACTTTTCAGCTAACCCTTTTCGATTTCGATAAAAAGTTGTAGACTGGTTATATATGTTCCCATTAGATTATAAACAAAATTTTAGAGCATTAGCAACTATATTAGCGGAGATAATCGGGTATAAAGGTCCAAAAAACGGCTTTTTTTTCTTTTTACTGATATTAAATAACTAGTTTTTAATTTAAAACTAAATATGATCAAATATTGAATCTAATATCAATAGCTAAGTTAATAATGGATAATTACGGCGAAAACATTAAAATGATTTTTTTTAAAAATATTGGTCATCTTATGGTCAGTTGAAAATTTGAAATTAATATTTCGAAATGTATATGATCTCCAATTTTAAATTTTTTTAAGAAATATTATTCGTTTACTATTTTTTTAATAATATCTCCAACAATTAGATGGCCGGATATTTATTTTAAAAATTATTGCGATTTTATACTTTTAAGAAAATAGATGACGTTATATGTAATAGTTTTAATATGTTAATTCATTTTTTTTATTGATTAAAAATATTTTATTGTATATATATCATACTAAATCGATTACAATATCCATTATATATATTTATTTGTAATTCAGATCATGAAATCTTTAAAATCTTCACAAATTTTGCCTAATTAAGATAGTTTATAAATTAATTAAATCTTACTTCATCTAAAGGATACAAAGCCTGACTAGCTTGTGAGATTTCTTCAGGAGATAATATATATGTTCGACCGGTGGGAGTAGAAGGATTGACCAGCGAAAGTATGAGATTTAAGCAATATTAAAATATCATCTTTCAGAGGAAATTTAAATGAGGCTGAAGGTCCACAAGGTTGTAAATATCAGATTTTTACTTCTTCATTTGTATCATTTGTATCGATTATAAATCCTAACCACCATTTGTCATCATTTACACATGTTACATATCCATTAATATTTTTAAATATAATTTTCTCATTTAAAAACGAAACTTGTTTTATATTATATTTTTTGGAATTTGAATATATTTTGGTTTTTAGCTTATTTTGGGAATAACCCCGTGAATTTTTTGGGTCCCATGTATGGGCAGTGCAGAATTAAATCTTTTACGAAGGGCTAATTCTCCTTCGATGTATTCTAGATTGGATATATATTCAAATTGAATTCCATTAATATTTTTTTAGCATAATTATATAATTCTAATGGGGTTAGGATTTGATTTTTATTTGGCTTTTGAAGACTAGCTCTGGCAACTAATCTTTTGACAGTTCCTCCAATCACATGCATTTTTGCCGTGAGCAGTGGCAAAGAAATGCCATTCGGCAGGAAAATTAAAATCGTATTTATGAAGACATATGTTCAGAAAATTATTGCGATTCTTGTACTGAGACGCTGTTCCATCTGAAAAATATATTATTTTTTCTGGTTTAGAATTAAATTTGGCTGTTAAGAAATTAATAAATTTTATTTGATAAAGATGGACTGCACTAGTATTATGGTTTAATGTTTCGGATATAATAACAAAATTTATATTTTTTAAATCTTCTCCAGATTTATAATATGCTACAAATGGATGTATAGTCTGCAATGAAATCCCTGAACTTTATCTTGTAAAATAAAGGGATAATTTTCTTAATAATCTAGAATTTAAAAATTCCCCATCTTTTAAATTTTCTTTGTAATTCTTCAAAAATAAAGTTTGTTGTTTAGCTATAAACGAGTGACGCAGTAAAATTTGAACTTTTTCTAATAGATAATCAATGAAATCATCAACGGACTTTATAATAGTTTCAAGATTTGCTCTATCCACCGTGATCCATTGTTTAAACGCGACATATTCTATACGATTTCTCTGAGACAATTGGTATAATTGGCCCTTAAGAGATTCTATACCAGGGCATTGATCACAATTTGTTAAATAACATTTTGGCTGAGAGGGCTTACAAATAATTTGCGCCAAAAGATAGTTATAATAATTTATTCAGTAATCTTCTCCTGCTGTAATTTCAGCTATTACATTTGTCATTAATTTCACATTCTGATGAATGGCGCAGACACAAACAGTGTGCCACTAGCTCCAACTAAAATACAGTTTTTTGGCCTAAGTTCGGCAAATTTAGAGAATCCAATTGATATATTTGGGTATTCTTCCTTAAACATCTTGAATATTTCTTTAAGATTATTTAATATTAGTCTTTTTTGGACTGGTTCTTTCTCGCCTTTAACAGATACACAATCTTTTATTGCAGGCATGAGTCGACTTATTTCCTCAGAACTATAAAAATCCTTAACGAGTTTAAATTTTTGGTTTAGTGTCTTTCTTGCCTTATGTTTTGGTGAAAGAATTACACCTTCTTTTACCACCATTTTGGATTTTCTTGCCATGTATGATGTTACGTTGAGTTCCTCTTGAATTTTATTTACACTCCTCCATCTTTGAGGCAAAATTGTAAGAATTTGATATTGTTGATTTTTTGATAATTTATCAAAGTTATCCTTTAATATAATAATAATTTCCTCTTTCATTGAACTATTATTCTCGGAATTAGATATTTCTAAAACCTTACTCTTTATTGCTTTTTCAATCTTTTGAATTTTATTTTTAGGATAATTTTTCTCCATTAAACATATTCTTTTAATTGGTAATTCTCCAATATTGTGTAATGTTTCATTAATCGATTCAAAGGCGTCCTGATGGGTTATTCTCAAAATTCAAAGACTTTGATCATAAAAATTTTTTTAAAAAAGATTTTATAGAGAATGCTCAAATTTATTTAATACCCAAAATTTTATAAAGTTAATTTTTTGTTATATTTTTATTGCTTAAAATTTTTTTCCAAATCTTCGAAATTTTCTTTATCACTGGTTATTTTAATAATTTAAGATAATGACAATTCCATAAAAGAAGGCCTGGTAATTAATGTGATTTTCGATTTTTCCCTTAGTAATTTTCCCGCACTCCTTTAATCCTGCTTTTTTATTCGTGTGCTAGTCGGATTTTTTAATTATTTTTAATTTACATTGAAATATTAAAAAATTATTAATATTTTTTATCCTGTGAATATCTCAGGGGAATGAGATTTACAAATTATATAACCAAATTTTATGATATATTATACTTGAGAATATTTTTAAGCAAAAAAACAAATGAATTTTATCATATTAAATCTTTTATATATAGCGCTATCTATTATTTTTAAAGTATAAAATTGCAATAATTTTTAAAATAAATATTCAGCCATGCTAATTGTTGAAGATAATATTAAAAAAAATGGTAAACGAATAATAAAAAGTTTAAAATTTTAGATCATATTCATTTCGAAATATTAATTTCAAATTTTCACTGACCATAAGATGACCCATATTTAAAAAAAAATTAATTTTAATGTTTTCCCTATTTGATCATATTTAGTTATAAATTAAAAACTAATAATTTAACATTAGTAAAAAGCAAAAATAGACTTTTTTTGGACCTTTAACCCCGATTATCTCCGTTAATTTAGTTGCTAATGCGCTAAAATTTTGTTTGTGATCTAATGTGAACATATATAACCAGTCATCAACTTTTTATCGGATTGAAAGGGATCGGGCGAAAATCTTAATTTTTTTGCTCATTTTACATAGTGACCCTATAACTTTGTTACAGGAATCGATGAAAGCAATATTTTGTCCATTTATAATGTTATGTCATTACATTCTGTTTTGGTTAAATTTCACAAAATACCTAATATTTTTAATATTATAAGCATTAAATATTTAAGTCGAAATTTGAAATTGATTTTACAATTGAGGATTTCCCCATTAATAACGAGTTACTGTATATCATTTAAAAAATAATAAAATTCGATTTCACCGGCATTTAACTAATAATATATTCTATATTATTTATATATTATCACAACAAGGGTAAAAATTATCATCTTGATAACAACTTTGACAACATAAACCGACCTGATTCCAGTCAATTCAATATTGCGAATAATGTGAATCCCATTGACGATGCTAAAATTCATTCGATTATTAATCATAATAGTTCTAAAAATGGCAAAAATATCGGCAAAAACCACCATAAAAAACATCGCCAAAGGAATAGCAAATTAATCGGAACTGCTTGTCTTAGTATAGAAGATATCAGTGTAAAAAAAATAATATGAATAAATATCCTTTTCCTTAATTAATTTATATATTATAAATGAGCCCTCAAGATGGAGAGAATAAATGGGTGGAATGAAAGCTTAAATGAAATCAAAAAATTATCTTAGTATGCAGGAAATAAAATTTTTTCACCCGCCATTTTAATATATTGTATAGTTTCATTCATTTTTTTAAAAAATTAGGATATTTATAGTATAATACTTTAAAAAAAATCCATACACAGAATCTATCTCTATCGCCCTCTTTATTGTCCCCGAATCGAGACAACCCTATAATTGCCAAGCTTTTCCCCTCGCCTTCCGATACGGATTCCTTAATGAGTAGCACTAACACCTTCTCTAATCACAGTTATCCAACTAGCCCCGAAAAATCGTATCATAAGAAGGATGAGCATAGGAGTGACCACCAAGGTTAATAAAAAATTATGTCTGCTATTTTATGTTTACCTGACTAATAATTATGCAACCTTTAAATTTAAAATAAAAAGTAATTTTTTAAACATTTTTATACCATAACCTTATTTGGGAACATTTTTAGGCCATTTTCAGGTTAAGGTAGTTGAGCCTCCATATCCCATTTATCCAACATTTGCGGTCCTGCGAATGGTTTGGAACATAATTAATGAAGGGTAGAGCTTTTTTAAAAAACAATTCGTAATATATTAGTTAACCTTATAATTGTAAATCACATTAGTCCGGATTATTTAGTAGAATGCCATCTTCTCGCCTTAAACCAATTCAATTTTATTTCTGCGTAAAGTTGATTGTTGGGACTCGGACAGTCATCTCGGACTCCGCCTGGCCTTTTGATTTCAAAATATTTAACGGGTCGGAATTGGAACACGCTTAAAATGATTTTAATAAAAAAGCGCCTATTTCTTCGCTTTTTTTTGAGAAATCATACTTTTCTAGATTATTTTTCTTAAGTTTTTTTTTCTCAGATGAACATACTCGGAAATAAGAATTTGAATCGGGTTCAGATCTTTAAGAAAAAAACATTTGGATTGAATCTGTAAGATAAAATTTTTTTCCCTTGGATGTGACCAGGCCTTAAAAAAGAGAAAATTAAAGATTAAGGAGATCAAGATAAAGATGGGATTGATTACGCTATAAAAAATATCATTAAAAAAATAATTATATTCAAAATTAAAAAGCGAACACATTGCAACCTATACATAGCAACGATCTCCATCGTGCCACCCAAACCAAATTATGTCTGACTCCGGCTTACGCTATACTTGATTCTCTCACTTACGAAAGCGGGGATATTGAACGTTTGGAATCGTTGATTCTCAAAGAAATTTTGGCAGAAGATCCATTTGCTAACGAAGGAAATTTCCCAGTTTTTAAATCTTTCGAGGATTCTACAAATTCTAATTACGTTAGGATAAGTAAGGGACCAAAAGATGATTCCTATCTTTCATACTTGGATAATTATTTGAACAGTAGCGATGCGTCATCTATTGATGAAAACTACAATTATGACGAATTAAGTCCTTATAGATTAAATGGGACAGGTGATGGGAAATTATCTCCATCATCTCCACTCGTTTGGGATACCTCCGCTGACATAGATAGTTGTTTGACTTAAATGTTATATTTACTATATTTAAAGATTTGAAAATGATAACAAGAATAATATTTTTCAATTTTGATGATTGGCTGAAACCTTGTGGATTCAGGACAATATTCAGAGAAGAAAAAAATCTCTTTTAATAATTTTTTCTAATTCTAATGGCAGTACTTAATAAATTACATTATTAGATTTTTGTAATTAGTGCATATTATTTTGAAAATGGGTGATATTATTATAGATTAATTGTTCTTCCATATATAAAGTAATTCCTAATTATATATTGATAATACATATGTATGGATTTGATGAATTATAATTTTTGAAACAATACCTATAAAACGGTGCTACCCCATATTTAATATATTTAATTCATATGATTTTATTCAAATATGTATTTAACACGACGATACCTTCCAACAATTATAAAAAAAACATTTTACATATATTGCATACTATTAACTAATTTATTCTCCAAATTTATTTTATTCAAATTGTATATTTATTAGTAATATAATAAAAACATCATTAATTTATATTGTTTAAAAAACTATCTATACGCATAAAAAAAGAATAAAATTTTAGTTTTTAAAGTTAAGTGTTTAATTTTTTATTCGATCTGATATTACTATAAAACCGATCCGACACCATCTATTCTTGAATTATTGTCTTAAAAAAATCAATAATTTTTAATAAAAAAATTAATTTTCACGAATGATTAAGTGTATTTTGTTTTTTTTTAATTCTCCAAAAGTTAATCATCCATCTTATTCAAAATATGGTCAATGTTTATAGCTGAATGCTGTGTTGCTAAACGCCTCGATTTAGCTGATTTTTAAAAACGGCTAAATTAATATTTAAAATTATATTACTTAAGCCTCGAAATTTCGCCAAAAGACATCCAAATCTTTCTGTCATCTATGGGCAAAATCTCCAAACTTATTTAATTTTACATTGGCTAAAATCTTGAGTTGGCCGTTTTCCAAAATCAGCTAAATCGAAACGTTTAACAACACTAGCAGAATATAATCGTTAGATATGTTTTAAACCCATTTTTTGTTAAAGATGATATACCAAAAAACGAGGCCAAATTTTTAGCTACATTATCTTTTAGATTTTTTTAAAATATCAAATAAAGTGAGTTTTGGTTTCTTATTATTATGAAATTATGTATAATAAAAAAATTGTTATATCAATCATAAAATAAGTATAAAAAATAAAAATATAGAATCGGATTGGTTTTTAAAAATCAACTCTATCCGAAATTTTCAAAAAGCGAAATATTGGCTTTTATGCGATATTTAATATCGGTACTGCCCTACTAATAATTAATTTAAATTTAATAAGCACGTATTATATGACCAAAAAACATTTTATTCATCAATCTAATTACATTTAAATTTAATAGTATACAAATATATTTTTTGATTAGAATTAATATAATATTAACACCACTTCAAAACAAAATAAGTTGATACCCAAGAAAATTAACAATATATTTTTAAAATGAAAGGAATAAATAATAAGAGATATATGTAATTTGATTTTGAGGTATTTGAATTAATTTCGGTTGTCATTTATGATTGGGTTACCATAAATATATGAAATTCCAAAAGCTTATTATTATAAAGAATGAACTGTTATAATGAATAAAAATTAAAATGTCAGTTTATAATTATGATAAGTATATATTTGACTTGAGGAATCCTTTTTTAAACTGTTGGGTTTCTTTTCTTTATAAGAAATAAGATCATATTACAAGATTTTTAAATATATATAAATTTATCTTTTATAAATTATTATATAAATAAAATTTTAGATGTCATTCAGACAAGTCTAAAACCTCGTAAATGTCAATTTAAGATTGACATATATAAACATTTGCCCATAAAAATATGTTTAATTTTAAGTAAGGTCAATTATTTTTGCATACAGTCCCTTGTTCCAGGGGCGTCGCTCACCTTTACAATCTCGGAGGGCTCAACTAAAAAAAATTCCATGGGGGCTTCGCTCCCTCCCCATGCCCATATATTTGCAGGCCTTCGGCCCTCTTTTGTCCGGCCTTCGGCCGGGTTTTATATTAATATATTATAATTTTTTTAAATTTGTTAACTCTGAACAATTATTCTGAATTTTAATTCTCATTTTATGCATACAAAATAAACTGGAATATAAATAATTAAAACAATACAAGACATTTCTAAAAATAAATTTTTTTTAATACAAAATCTATTTATTACAGTATAAAATATTTTCGATTGTTAATATAAAAAAAATTTGAGTATAAAGAATTACAAGTGATAAATTGATAATAGTTTTTAGAAACCACATTATGCAATAATATAATTCTTAGCAACTTACTTTGACAAATGGTTATCAAACTAATATAACTCTCTGTTACCATTTAATACATTTATAGAATGTATGGACTAATAAGGAAAAATTTATAGGCCTAAACCAAATCAACAATTCTTGAAGAAGAGAGTATACACGACCAATCCAAATCATAAAACTATTAAGTGGTTAGCACTTCCTTTTCGATGACATGATGGTAGCTAGATAATTAATCGAGAAAATTATTGTGAGATATTAAATTTCTAAAAGATTATTCATTCTAAATGATATATAATATATAAACGACTGCACAGTTGAACATTATTGTTTATCTAAAATATGCAATCATATGCTCTCAGCCGTTGTAGTAATAATCTTAAATTATATAGCAACACAAATAATTGATGCTAATTAATTTGCAGTAATAGCCATGACACTCACGATGTAAACTAGTATCAGAATTTATTATGTTGAATAAATTGATAAAATAAAAACACTAAAAATTTTTGGAAGAAATAATTGTGCAAATATATTGAAGCCTTGAGTTATTTACACGGCAAGGGTGCCATATTAGAAATGAAACATTTTGGAACTATAAAATAAGGACCAGAATGATATGATGAAACAATTAAGATTTTATATATTGTCGCACCACCTCTAGTTGGTATATTATATCTTAAAATAATAGTAGTTTGTAAAAATATCAAAAATATACTTGTATTAAAAATTTAACTCAAAACTGTTTTTTGAAAAAGAAAAAAATAGCTTTCCTAACGTAAAAAAGAAAAAAAAAGATATCAAATTTATTATAACTATTGTAGGATGAATAATAAAAGATTAAATTTTTAAATTATTTATAAGTAAATAGATGGCGGTTAATACTTGAAAGCAAATTGTTACTATATTTATTATCAAAAGCATTTATAAATAAAATTCATTATAATATTAGCTGTAATATATTATAACTGTCAAATACAGTGGCATTTTATCTAATATTTTATAAACAATTGTATATAATAGAGGATTATAAACTATATGTCTACTTACTTTTTATTATACTTATTTGGACCTTGAAAATATTTTTAGGAATAGGCATAATAAAATTTAAAAATAAATATACAGTTGATTAGTCATTTTGAACTCTGCTAATTACAATATTTTTTATAGGTTTATAAAATAATTTAAATAATAATAGTCCATTAAGCTTCAACTGTTAATGCTAAATTAATATTTAGTGAGTGATATTAATATTCTCACAAAATTTGATTGCTAGCTGTCATAGTGAAAATATAATTTATATGTATTAATTTAATCTAATATTTAAAATAGTATTCATTTAATAAATATATAGATAGTCTTATTATTTTTAAATAATAAAATTAAATATATATTTTACTTAATAGAATTATAAAAGAAATCTTTCAGGGGCAATCAAAAAATATTTTTAAGTTCAAGGGGTTAAGATTCCATTAAAAAATTTTTTTTTGCTTCAGGGGGCTATTCAAATTTTCCAGGGGGCTCGAGCCCCTGCGCGCCCCCTCCTAGCGACGCCACTGCCTTGTTCATCTTATATTATTTTTCTTTTGTGTGTTTTTTCAATCACTTGGCTTGTAGTTTCAAGTTTTATGAAATTTTTCATGCTTTATTCATTTTGTCGAAGATTTATTTATATTTCAGTGGAATTATTTGGATTGTATTCGAGATATAAACAATGGAGACATTGACAATTTAAAAAATTACCAATTTTATATTAAGGATTATAAATTATATTTCAAATTCAAACAACAGGAAAAAGAATCATTGGCGCCAGAAATAAAAAAATAATATACCTATAAAATTTTATTTTTGAAGACCCCAAAAAGTTATTTTAAAAATTTAGATGAATTTAAAGCTGTTTATTATAGCTCACCTTTTTGAAAAAATATTTTAAGCACCTCATGATTGAAAAAGAACGTTTAGACACTAAAAAAATCAGTGATGTTTTTACCAAAAGTATACTTAAAATCTAACCCTTTTAATTTAGGAGTGCTCACAAAAATGATATTAAAAAACTAAATATTACCGCTATGCTTATTTAAACTATTTTTCTAAATTTCTAGGACCAGACAAATTTACACTAAAAACAAATTGATTAATAATATCAATAAGGATAATATTTTAAGTATTTTTTCTAAATGGGTAGCTATTTTTTAAATAGTATAATAATTTTTTGGGAAAATATTTTGAGGTTAATTAAAAGTAATTCTTATTTATTTTGATTTTCTTATAACAAATAAATATTAAACATAACATTCCAACTCAACCTTAGACCTATCTAAGGCGCGGACCCAGATCCCTCTTCCGCTCAAAGATCAGCTTATAGTAAAATATAAACTTTAAATATTATAGTATTATCCATTTTTCAATTTATTTTTCCTTAACAATCATTGATTTTATTATATTCAATCATTTAAAAATTTAATCCTAATTAATGAAAAAGCCTCTATTCTGCTCATTATTTGAATAGCTTTATTTGTAGAGAATCGATGTTAGATCAATTTGGGGGGGGGGGATTTAGGGCCTGGCCTCCAAATAAATTTCTGACCCCTCCTTTCCAGATAGAATTTGTGGATTTTTAAATGATTCATTCAGAGATAATTGTAATTTAAAAAATAATCAACAATTATAACATAAGTTAATTATAGAGTTTTACAAGTAAATTTCGCCTAATATAGATGATTAATGTTCAGGAAAAAATTTATACCCCTCCCAAAGTGAAAATTCCTGGTTGTTTGATTTTAAATCTTAAATCAATATTGAATACTAAAGTCATTATCTTATTTTTTTTTAAAATACAAATAAGTAAAAAAAAAAAATTTTCTACCAAATTCAACTCCCCTGTTGAGTAGAGTTACAATCATAATTTAAAGTAATTTTTATTATTTATAAACCGTTGATGATTTGTATAAATAAATCGCATTATTCACATTTCCGAAAAGTTTTTAAATGATAATTTTTCATATAAAAAAATGTAAATTTGTTGAAATTTTTTAGGCCATTATCCTCAACATTTATTTATAAATTTATTTCTCTTATTATATTTGTATAATTTAA